AATATTTTATTTCAATATTTGTGACATTCAGCATTATAATAAAGCGTGAAATAGAGTCATTAAAGGCTAAAGTCACCAGGTCTCTCATTATTTTCCACTGGTCTTTTCGCTCATCTTCCATAAATACTCTCTTAATTCATAATACTGGTGCTCAAATTTGACACATATTCCTAGCTGTGATGTCTCCCATTTTTGCAATAGTGTAGTCTGTTATCCTCAGAAACACGTCTTCTGATTCCCTACACTCCAATGGTATTATGTGTTAATTTGAACACTTTTCCTTTAAGGAAATGACAGTTAATGAATACATGTGTATCTCATGACTGTTTTCTCATCTTTTAAATAACACCAGGAATTCTTTCAGGTGTCAGGTGCACACCTGTAACCCCCAAACTTGGAACTCTGAGGTAGGATTACCAGTGTGAATTTACTGGACTAAGATGTGAGTCCACAGTCAGCCTGAACTGCATAGGGAAACCCTGTCTCAAACAAATAGGAAAATAAATATCTATTATTGCTGATATCCTTGAGAAGAAGAACTCTATAGTTTGAAACTCTTAGGGTCATAGCTTTTAGGATACATCAGGTAGGTATAAAAACCAGTAAGACTATGTTTAAGGATATGGAAAACTCAAAATATATCATATTGCAAAGTCTGATACAGATTTAATGCAATGCCCATCCAAATACTATTAGAATAGCTCACAAATATAGAGAAAACTTTTCTAAAATTCATTTGGAAACAGAAAAGATCTAGAATACCAAAGACATTCCTGGGCAACAGAGGCAAGTCAGGAGGCATCACAATTCTTCACTTGCTATAATAGTAGAAAGCTACTGTCACAAAATCACCAGAGTCCTGGCAGAAAAACACACCCAATAATCTAAACAGACTGTAGATGGAAACACAACTACAAACACACTCTGCTACCTTGTCTTTAATAAAGGAGACAAATATGTTCATTGGAAGAGAGATAGCCTCTTCAATAATGCTGAAGAAAATGACTATCCCCATACTGAAGACTTAAACTGTGTCTATGCCTATCACCATGAAATAGACTAAAGTCAAACTAGCTTGGAGATCTAAATATTACAACAGAAACACTAATGAGGCTTCATGAACAAAACACAAAATCTGAAGAATCAACTTCAAAGAATCAATCACTGGGACTCCATCTTATTAAAAAGTATTTGTACATCAAAAGAAATCACTAACGCAGTGAAAAGGCAATGCACAGTTTGGGCAAGGGATATCTTTCCATTTTCTGAGAATCTCTTCAGTATCCTTTTACAAAGTACTGTAATTTTCAATATCTAAGTCTTTGACTTTCTTTGTTAGGTTCATTCCAAGTATTTCATTTTCTTGGAGGGTATTGTTAAGGGTGTGATTTCTGTAACTTTTCTCTTAGTGAGTTTATTGTGTACAGGAATGCTCTTGATTTTTGATTGTCAAATTTGTCTCCAGCTACATTATTGAATTTGGTTAAGTCCAGAAGTCTTTTGGTGCAGTAATTGACATCTTCTACATAGAGTATCATGTCATCTGTGAATAATGATAGTTTACCTACTTTCTGTTATATGATTGTTCTTATTTGTCTCTTATTTCTAATTGTTTTGCCTGTTTCCAGAGCTATATTGAATAAGAGTGGTGATAGTAATCATCCTTTTTTTGTTCTTAATTGTAGTGTGAAAGTTTTTAGTTTTTCACCATTTAGTATGATGCTGGGTATATTTTTGTCTTTGCTTGTTTTATGAGATTTATGTAAAGGCTCTCTATTGTTACATACTGCAGGATTTTATTACAGATCAGTGCTTGATTTCGTGAAAAGATTATCATGCATTTATTGAGATGATCACCATGTGACTTTTGTTTTTGTGTGTGTTGATATAACATTTAAATTTGTTGATTTGTATGTACTGAAACATCCCTGCCTTGCTGGGATGAATCCAAGTTGTCAGGTTTTAAAATCTTCTTGATAATTTGCTACATTCAGTTTGCTAATATCTTATTAAGGATGTTTGCAACTATGTTCACTAGGAAGACTTCCCTGTAGTTTTCTTTTTCTGGTTGTGTCTTTCTCTGGTATTAGTATCAGTGTAATGCTGGCCTCCAGGAAAGAGATCAGCAGAACTGCTTCTCTTTCAATTTCATTAAAGAGTAGGGGCCTTCAATTTTCTATACATTTCTTATAAAATTCAGCAGTAAATCCCTGAAGACTTGGACTTCTATATGTTGGTCAGTTGCCTTTTTGTTGTCTTTGTTTGCTTCATTTTAATGTATTTTGCAGAGGGTCTTATTATGCACTGGAGTGGCCTTGAGCTCACATTGTAGCCCTGGTTAGTTTCAAACTCACAACAATCCTTCTACCTCAGCCTCCCAAGTTCTGGGGTTACAGGCATTCACCACCCGGCCAGTACCCAATAAAATTCAATTAGATCTTCAGTCTCATTGACAGATACTGCATTACCTAGATTTTTTATATCTTCTTGAGTCAGCTTTGGCAATTATATGAATCTAGGACTTGATTCATTTCTATGTTATGCAACCTAGGGAAGCATGAGTTTTTGAAGTAGATACTGATGATCTTCTTAATTTTCACACAATCTGTAGTTATCTTACTATTTTCATTCCTCAATGAATGATTTTGAATGGTTCTTTTCTTCTTTTCATGTGGTTGGTTAAAGGTTTATCAATTTTATTTATTCTTTCAATGAACCAACTCTTTGATTCATTAAATCTTTTTATTGTTTTATGTTCTGTACTGCATTACTTTCTTCTCTGATGAGATCAAGATCTGAAATTTTAAATCTAACTTTTGTTCAGTGTGTGCGTATAATTTTAATCTCTTATAGGTTTTATATACCTTTCATATAGCATTGAACTTGTTGAACTTTTGTTTGGATATCTTTCATGTATTCCATTTCTTCCTTATGTTGGGCAACCATTGTTTTTCTATGTTCATCTATTATTTTATTTGTGTGTTCTCTAATATATTTGACTTAAAGTATGTTTTTGTATCTGAAATATTTTCTCTGTAAACCTTTCCACTTTTTTTCAATTCTGGGTGATCAATGCAAACAATTTTGAGAACAGTCTCTAGTTGATTGGTTGTACTGTAATGCACCACATAGGATCTAATATGCATTCTGCATAATAAATAAACCATGTGCCTATCATCAGTATAATCAATATACACTGCAAAGAAGTGTATATTGCATCAGACAAGGGGTCTTTCAGGCAAATGCATGCTCAAGAACAAACATCAACTGTCTTCAAGTTAAGACCTCGCTAATGGAGTTTCTGGGACCAATCTTTCTATCATAGGAACATGCACATTTATACTTTGCCTTATACACAACCTAACAGAGACACATGGAGATCTCACTATGTGCTGACTGCCCCAGATCCCCAGAAGCAGCCCACTCTTTTGGAGACAAGTGAATCAACACCGACAATATCTGGTGATGACTGAGTCATAGAACAGAAAGCAAAAACAAAAAGCAGGCAAATCTTCCAGAGGAGTCCTCAGTATGGCTCCAATGTCTTTCCTTTGTAGCTCTGTTCAGATCACTGATTCTAGCAAAGTGTTCAAAACTGCTGATTCCTCTCTGACCACAGGCTACAGGCTCAGAAGTGGATGTAACAGTGACAGCTGAAGGTGTCCCCTGTCCCTCTGTAGCTGCTGTCTTGGAGAACAAAGCCACTTGTCCTCCTCCACCTCCCTCCCTGCCTCTCCCACCCAGCTTTGAAGGCTGAGCTGCTACCAGACACTCTGGGTGGAGACGCTTAGCAGGGCCTTGAACATATACTTATCTGGCACATAACTTCTGAGTAACTTATCATGGGAAGGAAAGTTATAGTAAAAAAGGGACATCTGAGTGGCAGGAATCTTGCTCTGTACATCATGACCTCTCCAATGATGTGGTGGGGATCAAAACACATAGGGTTCTTGCCACACTCCACAGCTTTTCACAACACAGCAGCCCTATTGCTGGTGGCACAGGTGCTTGCCTCACACCAGCACACTGGCCTACAACCTCACTGTGCAACTGGACTTGAGATATCAATTGTGTTGTGATTCAGGTGAGAACACAATGGAAGCCTGGCAACTAGGCGACCAAAACAAAATAAGAATTGATGGTGGCCATATCCTGAGGCTGGTCACTGAGACAAAGTCACATTGTACACAAGTGAGTGTTCTGCCTGTCTCTGTCTGGGTGCAGTCCAGCTCCTGAGGGGCCCACAGCCATGCCATTAGAAGGCTGACCACACTGCCACACCTTATAATACCTTCCATTGCTCTTAGGACAGGACCGAAATGTATGAGCCCAGGGGGCAGGAATTTGCACGCAGACACATTTGGGCTGGGGCACACTTATTTGCCTTTATTCCAAACTGTAGCACATATCTGAGGGTCCTGCTTCATGGTCTGGTGCACCCAGCATTTTTTCCCTGGGCAGATACAATTCTGCCCATATCATATGAGCCATTTCAAAGATACTGTATCTACCTGGATTCTGCCAGACAGGTGCACCTGCATTTGTCTCCCCACATATCCAGGAACACATGCATAACACAGGGACCCAAACCTTAGGTCAGGTCCTGGGTTGCTCCACAATCAGATTGATCTTGATCCCCCTGTTCTGACCACCATGTCCTGAGGAGAACTCTAGAGCTTAGGGCCAAGAATAGAATTAATGGTAGCCTCAGTCCCATGTTGTGAATCAAGGACAACACATTTTGGTTCTAATTTGTTGTGGGTGACAGCAAATCAGCCATACCTGTGGGTACTGGATTCTCTTTTCTGGGGGAGTGAAGAGCAGGTCCCAGTCCAGCCAGGGCTAGCACAAGCCCAGATGTGTGCTCTTGAGAGGAGAAGGGTGTATAAGAGGAGGATGGAGGGATACCTGGGGAAAGAGAGAATGGAAGCTGGAAGAAGAAGGCTAAGAAGTTCCTGAGCTGCACAATGGTTGGCACTTCATTTTGTTACCCATCATACCTTTTGGCTGATAGCACCAAACTGCACCAGTTATATTTTGGTCAGCTACACATGCAGTGTCTCGTCTTGTGGCTCCACCGAAAGGTTCAGAGAAGACTGGGGTGGACAAGGAAGGACCTGGGTAGAAAAAGTCAAGCAGGCACACAATCTGTGTTGTGCAAATTCACTGCCAGACAGAGCCAATGTCTACTGCCACACTGACCCAGAAATAGCAGGCCAGGAACTCCCTTGTTCAATGCAAGAGGGCCATCCTGATGCCCTCACAGGCACTGGGATCCACACATCAGAGAAGGGCTGCCCACCTTAGTGGTTTCCACAGCACCTGCTCCTGCCCTTTTTTTGTGCCCTCCCTCTTGGTGCTCAGCTCCCACATGGTGCCACATAGAGGGGCCTGGATTTTTCAATTCTACCTGGCACTGATCCTGTGCTTCAGCTTGCTGTGCACAATACCAGTTCAAGTGACTCCCCTCAGGCTCAGGGAGTAAGGGAGGCCACACTCCCAGTTATATTGCTGCCATGTGTGAAAGTGGGGCCAAGAGATGCTATTGCCCTGGACTTTCAGCCTGGGAATGATGCCCATCAGAAGGTGGTCAGAGCAGCAAGCAGGGAAATGGCACATCTGCTGCTTGGAGAACCATGTACCAGTCCGGGTCAGGACAGCTGAGACCCTCAGTATCCTGTGCAGCACAGGGCAGGATGGAAGTGATGCAAATGTCATCACAGGGCTTAGGAAATGATGCCAGAGAAGAAGAATGAAACTCAGTCCACTCTCAAAAGGTGTACTCACCAGGGATTTGGGCTTTAGTTAGTCATCAATGCCATGGATCAGGGCACAAGGCGTTTGGGTTTGTTCACTGTGTCTGAGGTATGACAGTCCTTGCAGGCATTTGGTAACAATGACCAAAGAGGATGAAGTTGCCTCAATGGACAATTCAGTCAAGACAACCTCCAACCCTCCCAGTTTACTGGTGGCCCAGGAGGAGACATTCCCAAAGCAGTTAGCTGCTATGCAGGAGGGGATAGGAATAAGCATTCATTCTTTGAGAAGGTGAGGGTTAAGGAGAACACTACTAGTAACTTCAAACACCCCTTTAAATTGTTTACTTATTTCAGATGACATGCTCAAGATAAGGAGAACCACAGAAGTCACTGCTTTAGGCTGAGGACTTTGCTCAGCAGCTTCAGCACGTGCTTAGAAAATGCAGCGTTGGGAGTTTGATACATGCTACTGAAAAAACCAAAACAAAAAATGAGAAATTACTTTAAACCAACCAAAAGAGCACACACAGACACACACACATACACACACACACACACACTTGTAAGTCATCTAGAGTAAACCGTGTTTGTTACAATCACCCTATGAAACTGGCATGATTGTGCACAACTGCTTTTCCCATACTGTTGGCATCTGAGACAGGAACATCAGAAGTTCAAGCCTAGGCTTAAGAATATGGAAAGTCAAAAAAATGGAGAGAGAGTGAGACAGAGACAGAGACAGAGTTAGAAAGAGCAAGGAAGGAAGCAAGACTCATAAGGCCATGAATTCAATCCCCAGTGAGAGAGAGAGAGAGAGAGAGAGAGAGAGAGAGAGAGAGAGACAGAGAGAGACAGAGACAGAGAGAGACAGAGAGACAGAGAGACACAGAGAGAGAGACAGAGAGAGAGAGAGAAGTTAAACAGAAAAAAGCTATGCACTCATTATAATACCCAAATTTCTACTCAGAAGTGTTCTAATCCACCATTTGTTTAGCTTAATTTTGTCTTTTTGAAACAAGGTCTCACTTTGCAATTCAGGCTATACTTGAGCTCACTGTGTAACCTTGGTTGGTCTCAAACTTTCAAGAATCCTGACTCAGCCTCTTGAGTGCTGGAATTAAAGGTGTGCACCACCATGCCCTGCTTCCACTATCTTTTTAAAACATAGGCTTCAGAAAGGTTTGCTAGAGGGAGACACAAAATGCACTCAAGTGTGGAATGTGCATGCTCAAAGAGATGAGGCACGTAATCCACCAGTTTTGATGCACAGTGCACAATGCAGCAGGATCTATAATGTGATTCCAGGAGAATAGGAAAGTGTCTCCCTCTAGAGGTGAGGACCAGTCCTCCCCACATGGGTGTGATAGGTCTCTCCAGTACAATCCAGCTGCCCTTGTGTTGGGGAGGCAGTTTTGACAGTTACCCCAGCAGCTCTCTTCAATTGCCAGTAGTCACGAATCTGTCTTCACTCTGCTATTCTCTGGCAGTGTATGCTTTTGGCATTGAACACTGCAGCGTGCACCCCCAACGCTGTTCCTTTAGTAGTTATGAAACTGTGTCAGCAAAACAAAGGGCCAGAGATATGGATTACTGAACATTTATCATGATTGTCAAGACTCTTTTGAGACATGAGCCTTCCATAATCCTGCCTCTTGGGCTGGGAACAATGAACCAACCAGGTTGATGGCCGGGTGCAAGGAAGGCAACTGGCAGCCTGAATTTCTGAAGATGCAGGCAGATGCCAACCAATGATGATTCTGCTTTCAGTCAAATACTTACCAGTCATGAGGTCATTTAGCCACTAGTCCATGAAATTAGTGCCCTCTGGAAGAGCATGGGGTGGGATGCAGCTGCCTCCCTTGTCTGGGGCCTGAGGCTCACAGAACAGAAAGGGAGGTTGCCCGACATCTGCCAGGTCTCTCTGCCTGTCCATGGGAGCCTGGCAGGAAGTGAAAGGGTGCAGAGTAACCTCCCTGGGCACACACTCTACCTCCCTCCCAAACCTTGACCACGTACTGGAATCCACAGTATCTTGTGCTTGGGACCCACCACACCCTGCCTGACATGGGATTCATGCTCCAGGTGACAGAATATGGTACCTAGGGCATGGTTCACACTGAGCACAGCTTCCATAGATGCCTCTGCCTTTTGGAGCCTAGGTTCACCCCTCCCCTGTTGGAACATTCATTAAGTGCTGCTCTGTTATTCTGAGACTGTGAGGCAGCTTCAACACAGACAGGCATGGCCTTGGCCATGACGAAGTGCTAGGTCACAGGTTTGAGCAGCCATAGAGAGCATGGGTTGAGAGTATCACATGCAATGTCTGGGTCACTGATCCCAACACTCTATTCTGTGCACCCAGGAGGAGGGGGCTTCCTTCCTGTGTAGACAGAGCCTTGTGGTGGAGAAGAAGCCACTGCTCAGCTCCTGGCTGCAGACCACCATCATAGTGTTCTCTTTTGCTCTGCATAGCTCCCATGGAACATGAAGCTCACTCTCTGAATGGACTTTTCCTACTAATAATCAACCCCAAACACATCAGGAGTCTGACTTTGACAGAAGCTTAGTTTTCAGAGCTGAGCAGCCCTGAGCCTTGATTTTTGGTGTGGGATTTCATCAGTCCAGGTTCCCCATGATCTCACAGGTCAAAGGCCTGGTCTCAGATGGCACAAGGCTTGAAAGGTGGCCTGTGAGATACAAGGTCAAGTGCAGGTCTCTAATTACACAGGGCAAGCACTGCTCCTTTGGGTATCAGATGTGTGGTCTATAAGGGAAATGGGTTACACTCAGCTGAATTCAGCAATGTGAGCAAGAATTCCTGAGGCTGAGAGCATGGGAACATACACAGCAGGCTGGGTCTCTTGTGTGCTGTCTTAGCTACTTTTCTTTTGCTGGTGAGGCAAAATAACAGACAGCCAAATTTAAAAAGGGGAGGGTGTTTTAGTTCACAGTTTGGAGAGGTTTCAGGCCATTACCTTCTGGCTTCAAGGCAGGGTGGGACATGGCAGAGGGCAACAGTCCATGGCAGTGGAAAACAGTAAAAACAACAGGTGAGGAGGGGAGAGGAAGTCTCCTTCCATCCCTTACAATGTAAGCAGGTACCAACCCTAGGGCAGGTGTGCCACAAACACCCTTAATCTCAGCATTAGACCATGAATCCATCACAAACTTAGTTTCAGCAACTTTTGAAAAAAACGTTCTCCTGTGACAAGATGAGTCTTTGGGGGTACAACCAGACACAAAATGTAATGTGTGCAATATGTACTACCAGTGAGAGATGGTCTGACCTGGCTCTAATGCAGAAACTTCAATCCAGAAGCTAGGGACTCACTGCTTAATTTCTAAAGAACCTTCCTGTGTACATAAGAAGCTCTGTTACCCAAGTGCTCACTCAGGTGGCCACGAGTCCCCAGCAGGAAACAGGAATAGAGATGGGGTTTTTTCAGGCCTCAGATGCAAAGCAGAGGCCAGGCAACCCAGGTAGAGGGAGTTTCACTAGGGCTCTTAGGAAGGCCACCTATGGGCTGATAAGTGAGACTTAGCTGGTCCAGGGTTTGGGGAACCACAGGGTGAGAATAAATTCTAGATGGGGAGGGGAAGGTGGGTGAGATCAGCTTCCAGAAGGACCCAGCCTGGCTTCCCCACCAGGCCAGCAAGCCCCAGGTGCTGTCTGAAAGGCTGCCATGGGGAACTGTACTAAAGGACCTGGTTCATCACATGGCTGGTGGCTTCTGTGCTGTCACTAGAAAGGTGAATCCTTTACCACTTAGGCAATCCCAAAACAGAAAAAGTGAGACCTCCTGGTTTTCTGTCCTGGCTGGCTCATGGCTTTGAGGGTTTCTTGGATCATAAATGCTGGTGAACACCCCTTAGTGACTATCTGCTCTGTGGGCCTGGGTGTCCCTATCATTCCTACCATGGAGGAGCAGGGTTATGAGACAGGGTGTGACCCCTCCAAGCTCACTGTGTAGGGCAGACCCTGCAGCTCTATGTGCAGCCTGTGCTTCCAGAAGCTGCCAGGTCTCTCTGCGCTATACTCAGAACTCTTGGAGGCTTTAGGGGAGTCCTGATGGCACCATTCTCTGCTTGTCTGAGATCTCAGAAGCTTCTTGCACACTACTAGTCACTGTACCAACAGTGGTGCCCCAGACATCAGCCTGGAGCAGGTCCCTGCAGGGCTGCAATCCACATACCTGTACCATAGTGAGGCCTCGCAATAACAACAGATGCCAGCAGGGGGAGAGAGTGAGCTAAGGGGATTCTGTAATGAGGCCCAAAGAGGACAGGGGATATTCAGGGACAGATTACATTTTCAGCACTTCCCTCAAGGGTGTGTAAACAGCAGGCCTGTGGTCCTG